ATCCCTGATGAATATGGATTCCAAAATCCTCAACAAAATCCTAGCTAATAGGATCCAACAATACATTAAAAGGATCATCCACCACGACCAAGTGGGATTTATCCCCGGGATGCAAGGGTGGTTCAACATTCGCAAATCAATCAATGTGATAGAACACATTAATAAGAGGAGGGAGAAGAACCATATGGTCCTCTCAATTGATGCAGAAAAAGCATTGGACAAAATACAACATCCTTTCCTGATTAAAACTCTCCAGAGTATAGGGATAGAGGGAACATTCCTCAAGCTCATAAAATCCATCTGTGAAAAACCCACAGCGAATATCATCCTCAATGGGGAAAAGCTGAGAGCCTTTCCCTTAAGATCAGGAACACGTCAAGGGTGCCCACTCTCACCACTGTTGTTCAACATAGTACTAGAAGTCCTAGCAACAGCAATCAGACAACAAAAAGAAAGAAAAGGTATTCAAATTGGCAAAGAAGAAGTCAAACTCTCTCTTTTCGCAAATGACATGATACTTTATGTGGAAAACCCAAAAGACTCCACCCCCAAATTACTAGAACTCATCCAGAAATTCAGTAATGTGGCCAGATACAAAATCAATGCACAGAAATCAGTTGCTTTCTTATACACTAACAACGCAACTGTTGAAAGAGAAATTAAAGAAACTATTCCATTTACAATAGCACCAAAAACCATAAGATACCTCGGAATAAACCTAACCAAAGAGGTAAAGGATCTATACTCTAGGAACTACAAAACACTCATGAAAGAAATTGAAGAAGACACAAAAAGATGGAAAAATATTCCGTGCTCATGGATCGGAAGAATAAACATTGTTAAAATGTCTATGCTACCCAGAGCAATCTATACCTTGATGCCATCCCGATCAAAATTCCAATGACATTTTTCAAAGTGCTGGAACAAACAATCCTAAAATTTGTATGGAATCAGAAAAGACCCCGAATCGCCAAGGAGATGTTGAAAAAGAAAAACAAAGCTGGGGGCATCACGTTGCCCGATTTCAAGCTATACTACAAAGCTCTGATCACCAAGACAGCATGATACTGGCACAAAAACAGACATACAGACCAATGGAACAGAATAGAGAACCCAGATATGGACCCTCAACTCTATGGTCAGTCTTTGACTAAGCAGGAAAAAACATGCAATGGAAAAAAGACAGTCTCTTCAATAAATGGTGCTGGGAAAATTGGACAGCCACATGCAGAAGAATGAAACTCGACCATTCTCTAACACCATTCACAAAGATAAACTCAAAGTGGATGAAAGACCTCAATGTGAGACAGGAATCCATCAAAATCCTAGAGGAGAACATAGGCAGTAACCTCTTTGACATCGCCCACAGCAACTTCTTTCAAGATACATCTCCAAAAGCTAGTGAAACAAAAGCAAAAATGAACTTTTGGGACTTCATCAAGATAAAAAGCTTTTGCACAGCAAAGGAAACAGTCAACAAAACAAAGAGGCAACCCACAGAATGGGAGAAGATATTTGCAAATTACACTACAGATAAAGGGCTGGTATCCAAAATCTATAAAGAACTTCTCAAACTCAACACCCAAAAAACAAATAATCAAGTCAAAAAATGGGCAGAAGACATGAACAGACACTTCTCTGAAGAAGACATCCAAATGGACAACAGACACATGAAAAAATGTTCATCATCATTAGCCATCAGGGAAATCCAAATCAAAACCACACTGAGATACCACCTTACACCAGTTAGAATGGCAAAAATGGACAGGGAAAGAAACAACAAATGTTGGAGAGGTTGTGGAGAAAGGGGAACCATCTTACACTGTTGGTGGGAATGCAAGTTGGTACAGCCACTTTGGAAAACAGTGTGGAGGTTCCTCAAAAATTTAAAAATAGAGCTACCCTATGACCCAGCAATTGCACTACTGGGTATTTACCCCAAAGACACAGATGTAGTGAAAAGAAGGGCCATATGCACCCCAATGTTCATAGCAGCAATGTTCCGCAATAGCCAAACTGTGGAAAGAGCCGAGATGCCCTTCAACGGATAAATGGATAAAGAAGATGTGGTCCATATATACAATGGAATATTACTCAGCCATCAGAAAAGATGAATACCCAACTTTTACATCAACATGGATGGGACTGGAGGAGATTATGCTAAGTGAAATAAGTCAAGCAGAGAAAGTCAATTATCATATGGTTTCACTTATTTGTGGAACATAAGGAATAACATGGAGGACATTAGGAGAAGGAAGGGAAAAATGGGCGGGGGGGAATGGGAGGGAGAGATGAACCATGAGAGACTATGGACCTGAGAAACAAACAAGGTTTTAGAGGGGAGGGGGGAGGGGGGATTGGTTAGCCTGGTGATGGGTATTAAGGAGGGCACATACTACATGGAGCACTGGGTGTTATACGAAAACAATGGATCGTGGATCACCACATCAAAAACCAATGATGGATTGTATGGTGACTAACAGAACATAATAAAATTTAAAAAAAATAGGCAAGACAGTATTAGGAAAGGAAGCAAGAATATATATGTGGTGGAGGGGCCACTGGCGCTGCAGGTTGTCCAGGCTTATGATAAAGCTATATAGGAATTAAAGAAATGTGGTAATACAATAGGAAGTGGCAAATAAGACCAATGAAACTACATAGAAATGCCAGAAAAAGACCCATATACATATGGGAACTTTTTATGTGACAGGTGACATTGTAGATTTCTACAGTGGTCTGCTCAGTTAATGGTGTGGTACAATTGGTTATTTCAATAGGACAAATAAAATGCATTACTACCTGTGAGTAAAGATGAACAGAACTTTTTCTTCTTCCCACTGAGGAAATGATCTTGTGTTAGCCTTCCAGGACCCTGTTTCTCTGAAAACCTGATAAAGGTGGACTATCAGCTGTGTTACCAGGTGCATTGGTTATGGTAAAAATGACCCCTGGACAGGGAGGATTATGACCATGACAATAATGTCTTGTTGAGAGTACAAATGGGGTGAATGTGGGAATCCCTTTGCTGTGAGCCTGAGGTTAGGTTCATGAATTATTATAAGAGATACTGGTTCCTGTGTAACTTGAGATTTCTAAGCCAGGGGGACTTAGGTACACACCCATGTGGTCTCATTGCATCACACCTGAGCTTACACTAGAATGCTGTTAGGACTCCTGATGAGGGCAAGTCTAAGGCTGTCCTGCTGACATGTTGTGACTCTTCACCTGTATCCTTTTGCAAAGCTCATCTGATACCGGGTGTGGCCTACTGGATCTTGTGAATGTCCAGTAGAATACAAGATCGCTGTTGGTGGTTGAGCAGAGTGGGCAGGGTACACTTTACACTGAAATTGAATCTAGGTGAATTAAATCCCCAAATATTAAAAGCAAGTGTTAAAAAATTTTGTAAAAATATTTGAGAGTTGGTATTTTTCTTACTCGCATAGGGAAGGACTTTTTAATTATTTTTTATTTTAATTATTATTTTTCTACTTCTTTTCATTTGAGTATAGTTGAGACACAATGTTACATTAGTTTCTGGTGTCCAACATAGTGATGCAGCAGCTCTGTATGTTAGGGTATGCTCACCACAAGGAAGGACTTTTTATGTTTTATATATTGCTCAAAATGGCAATTAGCTAATCCACTAGAATTTAATATATTTAGCAAACTACTACTAAAATATGTTAACTTTATATTTCAAGTAATCCTTATTCATGTTAGGTTAAAAACTTAGTAAGTTATGTTTTGACTTGTTCAACCAAATGAATATGCTTGGTAAGAGTGCTGGGTAGTTGTTTACATCTTTCCATTAACATGCTTGTTTCTAAAACTGATTGTGTTTGGGTCCATGTTCTGAAATGATGGCTGTATGTATTCCCACAAGAGGTATTCCAGGTCTAAGAAGTTTCATGGAACAAACAAAACACACACACATGTGCGCGTGTAAACATATTAGCAAGAGGGGAAAGATTAAGAAGTTCTACACAGTCAGAATCACCAAAAGACACTTCAGAAAAGATGAAAAGACATGGTATAGGCTATGGCTTGAGATGAGAAATAGGTATGAGATGAGGGTGGTCAGTTAGGCAGACGCCAGACCATGGAAGTCTGCCTGGACTTCGGATCTGCTGTTTCTTTTGCTCAGTAAGCTTCCCTTTCTCTTTGCTTAGCTTTTCCTTTTGTCTTTTAAGTACAGGGCAGTTACGTATCACCATACTCTGTTACTGCATTAACACCACCAGCTGTAATTTGTATGTTTGCTTGTGTATTTTCTTTCTCCTCATGAGAATATATGTGCTCTGCAAGGGCAGAGCACACACCTCTCTTGTTCATTGTTTTATCCATAGCACTTAGGGCACTATCTGTGCATACTAGATCCTCAGAAAAGAATTGTCAAATGAATGGATTAATTGAAGCAGAATTACTGAATCTTTATTTTAATGTGATTTTTTTCCCCCCTCTACACTCAATTTTTTTTTTAATTATGCAGGACTCTGAATGCAACAGAATGGACTGAAGTCTATGGGGCAGTACTAAATCTCATGGCAGAGACAGAATTACTGTCTTAGTGCTTAGATTATATAAGAACTAAAATAAAGATAGTGCTAAGAATTTTGTATTTACAGTAAACCAAATGTGATAAGTACTCATTATAAGAGTCTTCTCTGGGCTACAGTGATAAGTTTTTTTTGATTGAAAATGAAGCTTATTTTTATCAACTTTTGGAAAATAACTTGAGTGATTCAATAAAAATTCACTTGTGTGTGCATAGTACTTTATACTCTGTTTTGACAGATTGTAAAATATTTAATGGGGAGCAATACATTTCAGGTGATTTTCTAGAAGTGAAAATCACACTGACTGTGATTGTGGTTTTAATTCTATTATTGAAGACTTTATTACTCTTTTTAAGAAGCTATAGAAATCATATTTCTTTTAAACTATACATTCTTAAAATCATAGCCATAATTTTCTTTTCTTTCTTATTCCCGTAGGTTTTGGAAAATGCAGATAGCTCAGGGAAAGTAAACCACTCTGTTCAGAATTTCCAACGCAGTAATTACGATGATCTTTTTAAAGATGCTACAGAAAGGTATAACCAATATGCTTTTTTAGTGAGCTTTCTGTCTATTCATGCTCATAGCTCTGTCAGTGGAGACAGTGAATAATGGCCCTCAAATGTTTGATTAGTTTCTCAAGAGATAACTCTTTGTAGTAAGTACAACCTGATTTGGCTGGAAATTGGATGTATTTATGATCTCATAAATATGGTATTAACACAAGAAGAAGATACTCCTAAAGAATTTAATGTCTCTGTCATCTCAAGAATTATACAGTTCCAGAGTCTTTGTAAATGTGTTGGGAGCTATGGAGAGGGCAGTATACTTGAGGTAAGGTAAAGCACAGGACACAGTTAATTCTACTAGAAATTATATAGGTTTCCAAGAAAGAAAATAATGTGCTAGAAACAGTAGAACTGTTAGCATGGTGAATTCTTGGCACTATATATGAAAACATTTAAAGAACCAAGAGAAAATAAATTTCCATTAGAAAAACAAAAACAATAACATTCGTGCTTATAAAATGTTCAAATTTAGGTGTTATATGCAAAATCATATTAAAGAAGAGAACATTTTAATAAGCCATATTTCCATAGAGATTTATAAGTAATATTAGCTGTAGTCACTGGAATAGCACCGCATAATAATGTATATAGTATAAAACTTGCATATACAACTTTCAAAAGTGCATTAAGTGAACAAATAATAATTCAAAAGGCATTTTCAGATCCTATTATATGCTAATAGTATAGACCAATTATTAGATGCTAATTATATACTAAGCACTGTATACAAATGCAAAATATTACACAGTTCTTGCCCTTTAGTTTATAGTTTAATTAGGGAAACATATATGTAAAAGACAAATTTAAATACAATGTAGTAAGTATTATAGAGCCAAAGTCCAAGGATTGTGAATACAGAAGACAGAAATATGCATGGGGAGAGTTTCTCACCAGCTTCTTTGAATAAAAAATATTTAGGTTGGATTTAGGATCTTAAATAAGTAGAAATCTAGCAGGGGAAAAGGGAGGGGAGAAAATGTCAAGCTTGGGGAAGAAGTTTGAACAAAGATAAGAAGTTGTGAAAATATCTTATTAATGGTGAGAAATGTTATGTGTTAAGAGCTGTAGGGTACCTCTGAATTGGAATGCCAGGAAGCTTGAGAAGATAAGAGGCAGAGACAAAAATATAATGTGGGCCAGAGTGTGAAGGAACTTGATATACGTGAAACCAAGGAGTGCATATTTTAGTCAGTTTGTTAGAATTAAAAGAAAGTACAGATGGAATTTTTCTTGTATTAATGCATATATCTGTCTACCCGTCTAGGAAGAGGATGGCGGGTAGCAAGGTGGATGATATCTGGCAAGAAATGGGGAACAATTAGATATTTATAGTAATCCAAAAAAAGATGAGAAGGAGAAAGAATAAGAAACTTGAAATGACTCATGGAAGCAAAAGAAAAAGGCATTTATTTTGTTAAGGTTAAAGCATAAGATGCACAAAAGAGATTAGTAGGGCTGATGATGAAAAAGTAGGAAGGGGCCAGATTGCCAGTAACTTAAACTTCTGTGAGGGACCTGGGTTTTTCCTGAAGTTGGTGGGCAGGTAGAATTAAATTTGAATTTAGGGAGAGTTTTCTCTAGACATTGGAGATTAGAACCAGAAATCACATTAGGAGGCTTCTGTTAAGTAGGGGTGCAGATGAAAGTGCAACAAGTAAACGGAATAGTGAGAAGCTGGAAAGGAACAGACAGAGAGTGTGGCTAGTATTTGAAAGAAAAATCTGCTAAGAGAAAGTTGAAAAGGGTTTCTATTTTTAACATCAGGGAGAATCAAGTATTCTTATGTTATGGAAGAATTTGTACATAGGGGAGATTAATTATATATATAAGAAAAGATAATTTTAGAAAAAATGTCTAGGAGACAGAAGGCACAGAGTTGAATATGGAAGGATTAATTCTGATCAGGGAGAAAGTAAGGAATAATTGAAAATGTTGATGTATCTAAGTACACATTTTAAAAAAGTAAGTTGAATGTGTTCTTGCTTTCTAGCTTACATTTTCTAGAAGGGGCTACATTTTTACAAAGGCAGAGAATTAAGATAGGGTCTACATGAGGATGGTGGTTCAGAATTAGCTGCTGTGGAAGAAAGGTAGAGGAAACTCAACAGGGACATACCAGTGTTTTCCAGATGGCTTTCTGTTGATATTGGAAACCCCAGTGACCTCAGTACTTTTTCCCCACAGCTGAGGTAAAGGAGGCTAGTTGATCCAAGATGGCTAGTTTGCAAGCCAGGCAAATGTGGGAAGAGATGGAGTTTGTGATCAGACGTTGGGACTTGGGAATGATCTCTGGAAGTGGGCCAACTCCAGGGGCTGACAACAGAAGTACGTAGCTGAACTAAAATGGAGATGAATGTCAACTGAATAATTAATATAGATTTTCAGAGATTCTTTCATGAATGTATATATTCTTTGAAACCATGAACAAATACATAAATTTCTTTTCTAGTGAGAGTGAGAGCCTATTGGCCCCCGGTGGCTCCTTTCTAAGAGAAAAGTGGAACAGAGAAGATGAAGAGCTTGCAGGGCCATCCCAGACCGTCCCTCCTCAGCTTCCTGGTAAGACTTCATCCTCTTTCTATTAGCACATTCTTGAAGAGGCTATATTTCAGAGGTATGAACAAAGAAATTTCTAATATGAATGCAGGAAAGAGCTAAGAGAAACTTTTTTAGATGGGGAAAGCAGGGTTTCCTAGGGTTTTTTTTTAAGAATGAAGAAAATGCTCCACACCCCACCTTCATAAGGGCAAATTTCTCCCTTTCTTTAAATATTTTAATATATCAAACATGTCAATTTAATAAAATGAGCTATTTGTATTTTCTTATACTAGGAATTACAGATTTGTATAGACTAGCGTATGACCTCCTTCCTCATTTTCTTAATTTCTTGCACAGTATATATTTTATAAGTAAAATAGGAAACTTTTTTTTGATTACACATATGTTGTAAGGAAAAAAGAAAATACAAATATGTATAAAAAATCATAATACTGAAGAATATTCAAAATTATGTGTGTATATTTATATTTGTATATAGTGTAAACATAAATATAACCATGAACATATCTAGATTTATACATATATAAATTATAAAAATTATAAATATAAAAACATAAATTTCTATATATGTAAAATTTGTGTGTGTGAGGTTGGGGAATCCCATACCTCAAAAAACCTTGGAGCTAGAGAGGATTATAGAGATCATGCATTTCAACCTTAGATCAAGTGCCAGAATCATCTTCTCTAATGACTTTTTATAAATTTGGAAAATGTCAAATCTAATTAAGGCAATCTCACACTGTGTAATTATTAAAATACAGGTCTGACACAAAAATAGATTACAAGAAATACTTTTTAAATACTGAAGTATAATCTACATACGGTAAAATTCATCCTTTTAGCATACAGTTCTGTGAGATTAGACAAAGGTCTACCACCACCATCAAGATACAGTGCATTTCCTTCACACTTCATATTTCTAGTATGCTCTTTTGTAGTTGGTCATCCCCTCATTCCACCACCAGCACCTGGCAACCAGTAATCTGATTTTGTTTGTTCTTGTTAGTCTTGTCTTTTCCAAAGTGTCATATAAATAGAATCATAAATATGTTGTCTTTTGAGTGCCACTTCTTTCACTTAGAGTAATGCTTGATATTGTTGCCAATATCAAGCATTGCTTTTGTTGGTATTTAATTTTTTTTTTCTGAATAGTATTCCATTGTATGGCTGTACCAGTTTGTTTATCCATTCAGCAGTGGAGGGACATTTGGGTGTTTCCACATTTTGACAATTATGAATAAAAGCACTACAAACATTCACATACTGGTTTTGTGTAAATCTACGTTTCCATTTCTTTAAGGTAAATATATCTAGGAGTGGGATTTATGAGTCGTAAGTATATAACTGATAGACTGTTTTCCAAAGAGGCTGTACCTGTATGTATTTTATCTTTTTTCCTCCTACTCTTTTCTCTTTTTGTTTCAGTTTAAGGTAATTTTTAGCAACTCATCTGCAAATTTATTGACTCTTTCCTCAGCTTTGTTAGTCTACTAACAAATAAGCCCATTTGAAAACAGTCTTTAGCTCTCTTACAAAGTATGTATGTATGTATGTAGGTATGTATGTATGTATGTATGTATGTATTTATTTGAGAGACAGAGAGTGCACTCGCAAGCCAGCATGAGTGTGGGTTAGGGAAAGAGGGAGAGGGAGAAGCAGGCTCCTGGCTCAGCAGGGAGCCCTGTGTGGGGCTTGATCCCAGGACACTGAGATCATGACCTGAGCTGAAGGCAGACTGAGCCACGCAGGTACCCATCCTACAAAGTTTTTTATTGAGAAAACTTCATTTGACTTTATCTTAAAATTTCCATCTCTGTTCAAATTCCCTATCTGTTCATGCATTTTGTCCACCTTTTCCATAAGAGCTTAAACATATTAATCATAGTTATTTAGAATTCCCTCTCTCATGATTTTAACACATGGGTCATTTCTAAGTTTTTTTCTGTAGAATTGCCTTGGTTTTTGTTTTTTTTTTTTTTGACAGTGATTTTGTCATTGCTGCTGCTGTTTCTTGTATGTCTTGTAAATTTTGATAGGGTGTTGATGTTGGGTGTAAAAGAGTAGAGATTGAGGTAAGTAGAATTTATGCCTGGAAATATCATGCCTGTTCTTCTGCTAGGCCATTAGTGTAGGTTCTTGATTTAGTGTGTTTGGGACATGAGCTGGATTTTGGTTTTGTGTTGCTTGTCATTACCTACAGTGAACTATTGATTTAGAATTTCTCACGATTTAAATTGTGCTTAGTGTGACAACCACAATGCTAGAGAGTTTCTCTTCACATTCCTGTTCCATCCTTGGCTTGAAGCCTTCCCTGTGTACCTGTGGTTCAGAAGGGCTCTTCCCCACCCTCATGCCCCTGCTCTAGGGGTAGCCTGGTGCTGGTTGGCCTGGACAGGAGGGCAGACTTCTTTGTGGTCATAGTCCAGTCTCTCCCTTTGGCAGGTTCTCTGTTCCTGGTTGTCAGGGGAGAGGCTTTGTTAGTGATGCCGTCTCTCCTCACTATGGCATTCAAATTCTGCTTTGTATTTTTGGCAGGTTTACTGTGGGAGAAGGTTTCCTGTTCCTTGCTTAGTGGTAGGAGATTGGTGATAGTATCGTATAGGATCCTGAGCTCAGGACCATTTTCTGCCTTTCCTCCAGGAGTAGAGTGTTTTTCTTTAGCCTTTTCTAACTGGATTGGTTCTCTACTTGTGCACAACAGGGTTTGCTGCTAGTCCTCCTTCAGTTGAAGACTTTTGTTCTCTGGGGAGGGGGCAGGTCCAAATAGGGCTTTATACATTTTCCACAGTGGCAGTAACTCTTCTCTAAGCCTGTGCCACTGAGGGAAGAATTCCTTCCATTTCCAGCTCTGTGTCCACTTTTTTTTTCTTTTTTGTTTTATGAGCACCTATTAGAGGCCTGTTGAGTCTGCAAGGGTGTTGTAAACTCTCTAGTATCTGTGGCTTCCCAGAATTCTGTGCTCTCACACTAGGCCACATTCAGCCTTCAGCAAGATATTAAGGGTTTTTTTTAATCTGAATTCTTCTTTTCCATCTTTTGGAAATACTGTAAATTAACCCATTCCCCTGTTGACTTTTTTCCCTTTACTAATCTGCAACATGTATTCTTTACATATTTCCTATGTACTAGTGCTTTTTTTGTTGTTAGATTCCCTTGGTAAGTCAAGGTATATATTCACTTTGTATTTTAATAGATAATATCAGACTCCTTTCCAGAGGTTAGAGCAATTTATTCTTGCTCTAGCTGTTTTGAAGGGTTCAATTTCCCATATTTTTATCATCACTAGATAAGCCTTTTCCTAACTTTTGCCAATCTGATGAATGAAAAATAGCAGTTTCTTGTTACTGTAATTCACATTATCCTGATGGCTAATGAGAACGAGTATCTTATTGTTTGTTTATTAGCCTCTTTCATTTGCATATTTGTATCCTTTGCCATTTTTTTCTTATTATTTTGTAGCAACTCTTTACATTTTGGAAATCCTAACATCTTGTCTGTCTGACAAATACAAATTCTTCTCCTGCCCCATACCTAAGAAGGGAGACTTCATAACCACTGTGGTTTCTAGAATGTTTAGAAAGTTCTTTACTGGAAGAATGTACAAATACTCAAATTTCTCCCAGAATTTCCATTCCTTCCTTCCTTCATTCATTCATTTTTACTTAGATCACTAATCTGTCTGCTGTTAATTGCTAAGTATGGTAGACCTGTAGAAAATGGACTAGACAATTATACCAGCACTATTCACTAAGCCACTTTTCCCAATTAAATTTAAATATACATTTATCACATATTAAGTTCCCCAAAATGTTTGTATCCTTTTCTGTTCTCCAAACTTTTCCACTGATTGTCTTGTTTGTTCCTGTGGATATATTATTCTGTTTTGATTATAGTAGTTGTAAGTCATATCTAGAAAGGCATATCTTCCCCTTAATTTTTAAAAAATAAATGTAAAGGGGATTAAGAGGTACAGACTTCCAGTAATAAACAAGTCATGGGGATGTAATATGAAGTATGGGGAATGTAGGCAATAATATTGTAATAACTTTGGTGACAGATGGTAAATAGACTTATTATGGGGATCATCTCATAATATATAAAGATATCAAATCACTATGCTCTTGAAACTAATAGGATATTGTATATCAATTATATTTCAATCAAAAAATTTTACAGGTTATTTGGGCTATTGCTACATATGGTGTTTTAAATTATTTTGTTCATTCCCATGTAAACCCTTTTGTTTTTTGTTTTTTTTTCTTTCCCCAAATTTTTATTTAAATTCTAGTTAATGTACAGTGTAATATTAATTTCAGTTGTAGAATTTAGTGATTCATCAATTACATATAACACCCAGCGCTCATCACAAGAAATGCTCTCCTTAATACCCATCACCTATTTAACCCATCCCTGCACCCACCTCCCCTCCAGTAACCCTCAGTTTGTTTTACATAGTTAAGAGTCTATTTCTTGGTTTGCCTTTCCTTTCCTGCCCCATGTTCTTTTGTCTTGTTTCTTAAATTCCATACGTGAGTGAAATCATATGGTATTTGTCTTTCTCTCAATGACTTATTTCTCTTAGCATCATACTCTCTAGCTCCATCCACTTCATTGCAAATGGCAAGATTTCATTCTTTTTAATATGGCCAAGTAATATTCCATTGTGTATATATATACACATCACATCTTCTTTATCCATTCATCAGTCGATATAAATTTGGGCTCTTTCCATAATTTGGCTGTTGTTGATAATGCTGCTGGAGGGGATCGCTTCTCGGCCTTTTGGCTAAGATCAAGTGTAGTATCTGTTCTTATCAGTTTAATGCTGCTGGGGTACATGTATACCCACGTAAACCCTTTTGAAATTCAGATTAGAGTGGCATGACATTTATATTCATTTGGGAAATATTGGCATTTTATGATATTAAGTTTTTCCTTCTAAGTAAAGAATGAGGTGTGTCAGGAGATCAGCTATTGTGTGTGTGAACTACAAAATGGCT